AACAGCAGTGGTCTCAATATCGATCCCTGGGGGATGCCATTGCACATTTCCCCCAGGCAGAAAAGCAACCATTCACCACCATTCTCTGCTTTCTGTCTCCCAGTTCTGTACCCAATCTATCACTGTCCCTTTAATACTGTGGGCTTCTATTTTGCTTACAAGTCTCTTATGTGGCACTTTATCAAACGCCTTTTGAAAATCCATATAAACTACATCAACTGCCTTCATCCACCCTCTCCGTTAATTCATCAAAAACTCTTTCAGGTTTCTTAGGCACGATTTGCTTTAACAAATCCGTTTTGGCTGTACTTTATTAATCAATATTTTTCTAAGTGAAAATTTATTTTGTCCCGGATTATAATCTCTAGAAGTTTCCTCCACTACTGACATTAGGCTGACTGGCCTGTAGTTCCCGGGTTTATCCTTTGTCCCTTTTTGTACAGTGGTCTAACATTGGCAACTCTCCAGTCCTCTGGCACCACTCCGGTGTCCAAGGAGGATTGAAAGATTGTGGCCAGAGCCTCTGTTATTTCCACTCTTACTTCCCTCAGTAACCTAGGATGTATCCCATTCGTACTGGGTGACTTACCTCCCTTGAGCACTGTCAACCTTTTTAGTACCTCCTCTCAGTTTATTCTTATCTTATCCAATTTCTCTACCCCCTCCTCCGATAGTGTGGCATTGGTTGTATCCTCTTCTTTTGTGAAGACAGATGCAAAGTACTCATTCAGAATGTCAGCCATGCCCTCTGCCTCCACGAGAAGATTTCCTCTTTGGTTCCTAATTGGACCCACCCTATCTTTGACTAACCTTTTATTCTTTATATGCTTATAACATATCTTAGGATTCTCTTTCATGTTACCCGCTAATCTTTTCTCTTAAAATATGTTCGCCCCTCTTATTTCCCTTTTCAGTTCTCCTCTGTACTTTCTATATTCTATTGGATTATCTTCTGTATTTTGGACCTGACATTTATCATACATTATTTATTGATTTATTGATTGGTTGATTGATTGATTGATTGATTGATTGTGTTTTGGAACTGACATTGGTCCTGAATACATTGTAGCCAGGAATATTCAGCTCCCATTCCTGCCCTTGTTTGAGCCAGGTCTCCATTATTGCTACTACATCATAACTCCATGTGGCAACTTGAGCCTGCAGCTCCCCAATCTTATTTGTCCACTCCATGCAACTTCCTTAACAGAATTCTCATTCCATTCCACCTCACGCTGCTGAGCTCTCACAATACTTCTCCTTTATATAGGACTCAAACAAAAGTACCCAGTTTCAATTTATCAGCAAATTTATTAATCCCAACACCTGGCCTATGATCAACTGCTAATTGACTTGTTTGCCTGCTTACATATAAGGTTGCCTCCACCTTAAGAAAGATTTCCTACTCTTCTGTTGAATGAAAGAATTCTCTCTTGCTCTTTGGTATCTCTCTTCTGAAGAATTCCCATTCTCACCAAATTCCTTAACAGAATTCTCATTCTGTTCCACCTCACTCAGTTTCTTCCTCACGCTGCTCGGCTTTCTGTTTGCCTAGCAGCAAGTAGGAACCCAGTTGTTAGTCGATAGGCAGATCGCTTTTTGAGGGTACCAATTCCTTAAAAAAAAATTGGTCACTCAATCCAAGAGTGTGGGACACTGCTGTATGCAATTGACTGCCTCATTTTGCCCACAAAATATACAGTCAATTCAATTTACGATATATTCTGTGGCACTTTGATGTGATAGGATGCTGTATCAAATGCAAAGATTGTTATTCTTATAATTTGATCAAGAGTTCAGGAGATTCTCTCTCTCATCAGGTGAACATTTTAGAGCATTTAATACAGAGAGGAGTCCTTTGATGTGGTTTGAATTGATAACTTATCATTTAAACATTGCCCAGATGTGCAAAGACAAACCTTGCCTCCCCACCTTCCTCCACGGAATCATTCTCAATGCCGGGGCAGGGGAAACGGCAGATAAAATTGGTCATTTATTTCATCACTGTTTGTGGGATATTGTTGTGTTCAAGTTAACTGCTGAATTTACCAGCAAAAGTAGTCACTCCAATTTACAGTAAATCCTGTAAATCTTTTGCGGCATCTTCTCCACGTGAATGGCCTATAATCAAATATAACAGCAGCAACAACAACAACAACAACAAAATTAAATTTTTATAGTCGTGTCGGGAGGACGTCCAAAGGCGCTAGACAGACAGAGTTTCGGACCCGAGCTGGGGGTCGGGATCAGGAAGGGCGGAGAACAGGGGGGGAAGAAGGGTGATCGAAAGCACGCTTGAAGAGGAGTGTCTTTAGATGGTTCTTGAAGGAGGCCAGGGAGAGGGTAAGGCGGAGGGACTACGATATTAATATTAATAATTAATATAAGTACTATTTTTATTATTATCATTAGACTATTCATCTCGTGGTTGTTTGTAGGACTTTGCTGCTGCTATTTTGGTCGACACATATGGTCACCAGATTTGACAATTATTACTGTGAAGCACTTTGATATATTTTAATGTGATGAGGTGCTATAAAAAAACTTTTTGTTTGTTTCCTCTGGGTCGAGGGTGAGAAGGTAAGGTGTAGCTGACAGGCTTGCTGGCAAATTCCACTTTTTACCAGGTATGAAAAACTCAGGATAAAAGGAACAATTTTTCAAATGTTTACAGATTTAGGAACAGACGAATGTGCAGGAAAATAATGGAAATTAATTTAAGGGCAACTCTATTCATCCATCCTTTGAGTGAGACATTAAATGGAAAGTCCCTTCTGCCTGTTCAGATGGACGTTAAAGATGTCATAGCACTAAGGGAGTTTTTCTAGGTATCCTGGCCAATTCCACAAATAAAAATTGGTCATTTGTTTCATGGCTGTTTGTGGGACATTACTGTGAGCAATTGCATTTACCTACCAATATGCAGTCACTTCTTTTCACAGCAATTCCTTTGAGATGTTCTTCTGACTCGATAAGGCATTTTACTAAATGTAAGGATTATACGCAAAAATATTTGAGAGAAAGGTTCCAGGAGCTAGGAGTGTCCACATTAAACAGAAGCCCTATCTTATCTAAACATTACTCAGAGCTCATCCTTGTAACACTGGTGATCATTATTAATTATTTATTTTAAGATCACCATCACATTTTTTAATGGATTTCAGTTCGCCCGCCTTGTAATTTGCTATTTCAAAAAGAAAAATGGAGTTTTTCTTTTTGTTATCCTCGTTTATATTCCTCTCCTTGTGAAAATTTACATCAAATTGAAATGAATTGCTCATCTCATTGCTGTTTATCCGATGGTGAAAATTGGCCTAATATTTGCGTGTATAACAGTCGGTGTTATTTCTAATCAATAACATTTTGTAAAGTGCTTCAAGACCTTCATTTTACATGAAAGGAGCTACGTTAGCAACAATATTATCATATTGTTAGTTGTTATTATCAGCCTCTATGATCTCCTCTGCACTGCCTTAGAGATTGGGCACTCAAAGTCTTAGAGAGCAGGGCTGTGCACAACATCAGTTAATCCATGGAAAGAAAGGGCATTCAGGGTTGAATGTTGTTTGACTCATATTATAATTAACATTATACCATTCACAGCAAGTCATAACTTGCGATCGTGAACTGATCACAACTCACAGATAGTCCAGATGCATGCGATGATTAAGAATCCGATCGTGTTTATTTTTCTGGTTAGCAGTTAATGTATGATTACTGCATTTACACAATCAATAAACAAGGCAAAATTCATAAACACAGATGTACAGTCAGAAAGAGATTACTAAATATATATAGATGAAAAGACACTGGGGTCAAATTTGTGACACTGCATAATGTATTCATTGGAAAATTATCCTGGTAAACATTATGTGTTGCACAAGTCTTATCCTATATCAAGGTACCACAGATCCCGAGTTTCCTACTCTATATAAACTCGTTGAAGACAATGGTAGATTATGTGTGATTAAGCTCATGACATTTTAATTGAACATTTTCGAGCCCACAAATGCTCCGCTGTGGATATTTTTATTGAACTCTCAATTGTCGAACTCTTATGCACTAACAGGACAATTCTTTTCAATTGTAAATGTGCTGTGAATTATAACAATATTCAGGTCTAACTTGCAATATTTGCAAAGTGGATGGGCAGTGATAAATACTCTCCCGCTTGCAAATATTGAAAGTCATCTAATATTATTCAAAACAGCCAATTGTGATTTCTGAACACTGGGAAAGTGCCTGACAAAGGCTGGAGAATGAATTCCCAGCACTGTGTATGTTTCATTCCTGAGGAGCAGTGTCTAGAACTCTGAATATTTCCATATAATAAACAAAATTAAAATAATTTAAGATTATTTCTATTAATTTGGTGAAAAATCGTTATTGGAAAGTTATTCCTCGTCATTATTTCTAAAAAGAAAATGGAAATTTACTTTGGAATTAGTGTGTTTAAATTCCGGATCTGATGCGTTCAGCCCGATTTTTGTGTCAGCTCGGCTTTTTTTAAATTAAAATTTTCTAAATGGATGTAATACTTTAGTGCTTAGCAATGTAAGTGTGGGATGTTATAATACTCTCTTATAAATGAAAGAAAGGAGATGAAATTAGAGAGAGACACAGACAACGAGAGTCAGACAGGGAAAGAGAGAAACAGTGAGAGACACACAGGTAGATGGAAAGACTCAGAGAGAGAGAGAAATAGATAAGCAGGGAGAAAGACAGAGAGATAGAGAGAGAGAGAGAGAGAGAAACAGAATAAGAGGGAGAGATAGAAAAAATATTCCAGGAAATGGGTGAAGTTTGTAGAAACACAGTACAACAGTTCAAAGCGAGGGAAGTCAGGAGGGATAAATAGATCAACAAAGGAGCAAATAGTACTCACTGATGGTAATGTGAGTTTAGATGAGATACATACAGTGACAGATAAGTATGTTCATGTGGTCATTGTGATATTGCTGTACTACTAAACCCAATGAGAATAAAACATTGAGTATAACTCAGGATGTTTACATGCTTGTATTAGGCTCTGCACAGATAGCTCACAAATCTCCCACATGTCTGCGGGTATTAAAGAGAATCATTCCCCCCCACCCCCCGGTCCCATACTGTACAGGTTTCAGGTCTGTATAACATTGGCAATAGATGCCCAACCATCAATGGCTGTAGCTGATTTCAGCATGAAACACCGAGTTTTTTTTTAAATAGTAAAACAGATTTGGTATCAAAGGGGAGGAATTTGACAAATTTTTGTATGTGCCAATTATGGAATCATAGAAATATTACAGCACATAAATAGGCCTTTCTGCCCCAAAACAAACTCAATCCTAGATAATGCACAAACTCGATTGGTTAGATTGCAGTCTTGGTGTCACCTTCAATATAACAGCATGAGAAACAGGACAAAAAAGGGCACATGTTTTCCATTTCATTCAATGTTATCTTAGTTTTACAGCTTTCAATGATTCTCTGCTTTAACACTTTGTTCTTCAAAACGTTACTCTCTGGAAGGATCACTTACAAAGACTAAATGTACTTCTCCGTGAGATGTTTGATACATACACGTATGAGATTTTGGAGATTCTAAACTGTGATTTAGAAACATTTTATAATTTTTCCAATGGAATAGAAAGCAAATAAAATACAGATTACCTCCCTCCCTCCCTCTCCCGCACAAAGTCCAAGTTTTGTTCCCAAATGGGTTTGCCCCGAGATAGCCGCATACACTTTGTTTACATTTTAATCCGTTTTCAATCTTCTCAAGTATAGTTTGACAGAGTGGAGGGAGGCGTGCACTGCAGTCTCCCAGCAGATCCTCACACTGTGCCCACAAACTCCACTAGCTCGCTCTGCCCTTTCACCTGCTGCTTGCCGTTTGGCTCATGCTGCAAGTTGGCGTAGGCAAATTCCTTATCCCGCCTGCCATGGGCCTCGGCTGGAGCTCCCTGGGCACCCTGTTAGGAGCGCACTGGTTAGAAACATTGAGAAACAACAGTACAATATGAAATGCCACTTCTCATTTAATGTGAACCCACTGCAAGCAGATGTGGTAAAAACACCAGGAATAGTTCTGTCGGTAAGTTTCTGTGGTGAACTGAAAAGCATGTGAAAATGCAACAGACTGATTGAAAATTGATGGGCTTTCAGTCACTGCGCCCCGAAACTCTGGAGCACTTTTCCTCTATCCCTCCGTCTTGCGCCTTTCCTCACCATCTTCAGGTGGCGGTTCTAGACCTTCCACTTCGACCGTGCCTAATGTCACCCCCCCGGCTCGGCCTCGTGCTCTGAGCTCTGGGGCGATACCCTGCGTGAGGAGCGCTACATAAATTACAGGCCGACCTCATCATTGTCATCTTTGTGGAGGCCTGGAGCTCAGTGGTTAGAGCACTCGCCTCGCAAGCGAGAGACCTGGGTTTGATTCCCGGGCAGGGTGAAATGTTGGGCAAGTTTCCTTACTCCACACGTCTCTGTTTACCTCACAGTAAGTAGGAACCTGGTTGTTAGTCAATTGGTGGATCGCTTTACCGGGAGTAATAATTCCTTAAAAAAATAATAGTTTGATTCCTCAATCCATGACTGTTTAAGGGACACTGCTGTGCACAATTGACTGCTGCGTTACGCCCTCAAAATATACAGTCAATTCCCTTTACAATATATTCCGTGAAGTGCTTTAAGACGTCTTGAAGATGTGATAAGGTGCTGTATCAAAGGCAAGGAATATTATTATCTAGAAACTTCCCACCATCACCTCCTGCCCCCTCCTCCCTGTTGAAGATCCCTGGATTCAGAAGGAAAAACTTTATTCTTAGGAGGACCTTTACTAACCTTTTTTGCTGTTTGCACTTCAGTGTACATCACTGGCTGTGCCTCATTTTCCAATTCTCTTCCTGAGACAACACAAAAGGAACCAATTAATCATTTGAATTCAAAATATTTCTTTTATCACTTCAAAATCCACTGATGGATAAGAGATTCACAATGATCTTTCCTGTAAAGAAAGAAAGAACATCTATTTTCATAGCACTTTATTGGGTCAAAATATCAGATAGTAATTACTGTCAAGCATTGTCATTGATTCTTGTGACTCATTTGTTTGCTCCAGCAATGCATCTGCTGCAAAATGGTTAGAATTAAGAGTTTATCTTCTCAAAGATGATTGATACCATTTCACCTTCCAACACTTTCTGATCACGTTCAAACTAAACCAGGAAAATAAGACCAGAGACTGGAAATGAGTGAAAAGTGAAAAACGTAATTGCATCGAAACAGCTCAGTGTTTTGCAAGTAATTACTTGCAAAATTATATTATATTTTGCACACAGCAAAGTCCCACAAACAGCCATAAGGTGAATAGACCAGTTTATCTGGGTTAATGTTGGCCGGGAGAAACTCCCTTTTCTTTTCCAATAGTGTTGTGTGATTTTTAATGTCCACCTATGAAACAGGTAGAGAAATTGTAAGGGAATTAGAGTTTTTTAAAAAAAGAAATAACTGATAGAAAGCTGAGCACTCACCTTCGATGACTTGCTTCTTCCGTTTCCATGACACGATAACAAAGATTATGATGGCTACGGTAGTCCCAGCAATGAGGCCCACAATCAGCAGCAGCATCCTGGTATAGGAGCCTGGTGACAACATGGTGCCATTATGGCCAGAGCTATCGCAAGCATCAATACAGCAGGTTACAGCTTGGAAATTAATGAGATCAGAATAATTTCTTCACGTGGTGAGTTCTGATAAGGTGCAGGAGATAATTTTTTCGCAGCCAGATAGCGTGGGGAGGAGGATTCCATGTTGGTGGGAGTGAAGAAGCTTCATCTCTCTACAGTGTAAATGCACTTGGCACACATGCATTTACTGGACAGTGCAGTAGGGTTGGGGTTGCTTAGACTCCAGGATTGTCCGGGCATCTCCAGGTATTAAATATTAATCGCCCGGACAATATTGCAACTAATCCATGAGATCCGTCATAGGGAATTCTCAAAATGTAATATTTATTGGCATTTGGTGAATCAGATTTATCGTGTTATCAACTTCTCATTTGTTTCATCCCCACCTGGAGACTCTACAATCCATCTGAAATGTCAAGCCAATGCACTCTTGCCCTCTCTCAACCATCTTATTGGTCCACTGGTGCTGCGACTTATGTTATCTAACTACCGTCAAGTCATTGCTGTTTCACTTTATGATGGCGACCAAACATAACCCGGGCTCACATGCCTTTTGCACTTTCAAAGGAACAGAACCCTTTTCTCAAAATGGATAATTTTAGCGTCGCTCCACAGTTAATTTGTTTCAGGGTAACTCAGTATGTCCAACCAGAGTTGACAACCATCTGTGGGGGTGACAATAATGTCACTTCCTGGGTAATGTGGATGTGCTCTATTCCATCCCAAAGTGACATCAGCAACACTTTCTGCTCATGTGCCGCACGCAGGAAGTGATATCAGTGGTGACCTTATCGTTTTCTGGACGTCTCAAAGCACTTCACTGAATATACTGTAAAGTGAATTGACTGCATATTATGTGGGCGAAACGCAGCAGCCAATTGTGCACAGCAGTGTCCCACAAACAGTCGTGGATTGAAGTGACCAATTTATTATTTTTTTTTTTGAGGGATTATTATTAGGTGTGTGGAGTAAGGAAACTTGCCCAAGGTTTCGCCCTGCCAGGAATCGAACCCAGGTCTCACCATGAGGAAAGTGGTTTGCAAGAGGTCCAGCAGCATTAATTGCTCCCTAGAGCTAGGGAAGTTGAGCAACAGACTGAAGTGGGATATCCAGCGGTGGGAGAAACTTTCTACATGAAATTCCTAGTCCCCCATTCTCATCAGTGCTATAAAGTTATAAACTTTATAGTTATAACTAGAAAGTTATAGAACATTAGAATAGGGATTATCAGTTAGAAAGAACTTGTGTTAGAAAGAACAATTTAAATCAAAATAACTCTACAAAGAGAGGAAATACGGAATTAAATAGAAGTAGATTATTTAAACCACCCAAATTCTACTTAAAATTGTTTAAATGTCCGTTATATTTTGTTAATATTGCAATAACAAAACTACTCCAGACACTTGAAATTTCTCCTGGTCTTATGCTTAAGGTCAATGATTTAAATTTAAGATTGTTGTAAAATTTTTCAATTCAGTCTTAATTTAGCAGAATTTAGAAAACTGGCTTCAAAATTCACACTAAATTTAACAAAGTTCTAAATTATCTTAAATCTTAAGACAATAGTCTTTCAAGGCTAAGGCCTTATTGAGGAATTTGAGACGCAGAGACATGAAATTCTACCTAGTTTTAGCCTGTAGATCATTTGACTTAAATTTTAAGACAGTGGAAAATTGTGGAACATTCGTAAATTCAGTATTAATTTGAAAGTCGGTTTTCCACGGTCCTTAAAAAGAACCAAATTCCGAATTAAGACTGAATTCAGATCCCTGACTGTCCAGCGCCTCAGAATATCCTCCTGATGTGGAAGGCACTGCACAAATGCAATTTGTTGTTGTTGTTGCTGAATTTTAAAATACGTTCAGATCTCTGCACAAACTCAAATTTTCAATAAGAAAAAATTGTCCGAAGGCTTAGATTAGGTAAAATTTGGGTCCTTGGGTATCTAAGCAGCTTTATTAATATAATATTAATGTTTGTTGCATAGCTAAAACTTGGGTTTGTTTATAAAAACTGTATAAAAACCTGGAAACAGAAATTCCCTGAACCTGGTGACAATCATCAATTGAAAAAAATAATTCTAGCTGTAGGTAACTCTTTAGTAACTGGAAGAATATCATTTACACTTACCTGGTGGACATTTCTCTGAGACTGTGACCCCATGTTTGTTCTGAGCAAGGCAGGATACACAAAAGTTGGCCGTTGTATCCAGATTGAGTGTGCTACTTGAATGAGTGCCATTGACGTCCTGCATTATACTGACCGCAGGATTAGTGAGATTTATACTGGGGTCACTGATCTTCCATGTGATCTTCGCAGGAGGGCTGGCCTCAGCCACACACGTATACATCAAGTCTTGGGTGATGGTGACCTTATCGGGTTTGTCTACAAAAGCAAATTAAATTTGGTTACTACAGCTTCAGAAATAATACTTGTACCAGCGCCTTAGGATGTCCTCTCGATGTGAAAGGCGCTATACAGATATAATTGTATATTTTAACAATATCTGCAGCTAGAATTCTTTTGTTTCATGTTATTAGAAAAGATTTGGATGAAGCAGGCTCTTCAGCTTATTTGATCTCATCTTTCTCTCCATACCATTGCAGTATCAAGCCCTTTCTTAAAAGAATCACTGTTATGGCCTCTACTTCCCTTCTTAGTTACCACTGTTGATTTCTCTGCGTGAAAAAATATTTCCTGGTATCCTGAACCTTGTCCTGCTGCCTTAGCATATCTGAATGTATTCTGGATTTACATCCTTTGTCTTCTAATATAATAATAATAATACTTGCATTTGATATAGTGTCTTTCACAGAATATATTCTAAAGTGAATTGACTGTATGTTTCGTGGATGAAACACGGCAGCCAGTTGCGTACAGCAGTGTCCCACAAACAGTCATGGATTAAGTGACCAATTTATTATATTTTTTTGAAGGACTTATTAACCCCGGAAAAGCAATCCGCCAATCCACTAACAACCGGGTTCCTACTTTCTGCTAGGTTAACAGAGGCATAAGGAAAGAGTAAGGAAACTTGCCCAACATTTTGCCGTGCAGGGAATCAAACCCAGCTCTCTCGCTTGCGAGGCGAATGCTCTAACCACTGAGCTGCAGGACTCCACATTTCTATATAATGATAAACATTGCATTTGATATTTGATGAGCAGCCAGACGTAGGTGGGCACTGTCGATTACTAGGGAGAGGGGAAAGAGGACCCATGAGTGCACTGGTTGGGGCTGCTCAGAGAACTGGCTGTGGTCCTCCTCAGGGTTAAGGGCTTTCCTCTCCCAGCTCCCCTTCAATAAGTGACTGTCGATAGATTTTTTGGCTGGGACGGGGTGGGGGGGGGAAGAGGGGAGCTGAGCCCCTTCTAGCCCTAGCCACCCACTGTGTTGCACAAGATGTCAGTCTGGACTAGGGGCTCAAAGTCCTGACGTGGAGCTTGAACACAGTCTTCTAGCCCAGAAGCAACAGTGCTACCAACTAAGGCTGACACATGGTGTATCTAGAACATCCCCCATGTGACATTTCTTGTTAAGGTTGAAGAGAACTAGCTTATAGAATAGAACAACTTGCAGATTTGCAGTACCCAGCACCTTGCAAGTATCAGCTATAGCAACACAAAGCTGTCCACAAACAGCCACAAGGCATCAGTCACATTTGTGGGCACGTTTGCACAGTTACATCCTTTACAGTATATCTTGTGAACACTTTCAAACGTCTCAATGACATAATAAGGCGCTATATCAAATGCAAGAATTGTTATGTTGTTTTGGTAATCTATAACAGTGATATTATGGTCCAAAGAGCAGGCAGGATCCCATTAGCCTCAGGTTAAGGAGGTCTGATTTATCACCTTATTGTCAAATTGGGATGAAGCATCTCCAGAGCTGTCTCCTGAAGGTACCAATCTGTTTTTTTGAGGAGTGATTTGGGTGTGGAGGAGGCTTGATATTGGGGTTAATCATGTTCTGATCACTAAAAAATAACTGGATTTTCTTTGCTGGTTTCTTTGCAGGATTTCTTGTTATAAACAGACCACATTTTGACAACAACAACAACAACTTGTATAGCACCTCTTATGCCAGACAGCATCACAAAAAACACAGTCAGTCTACTTTAGAATATATTCTGTGAAGCGCTTTGAGATGTCTCAAGGACATGATGAGGCGCTATATCAAATGCAAGGACTATTATTATCAACAAAGAATGTTCAACTCTTTATTTAGTCTACAGAAGGTACTGCCTTTCTCCCTGAGGAGGCTTCAGATAGAGTGAATCAGATTCTCCATGGCATGCCTCTCTGATTGCCAATCCTGGTACATATTCTCTTCGCATGAGCATATAATACTCTATCTGTCCACCTTCACTCTCACAGGCCCCTGAAGATACCATTCTGATTGGCATTCCTGGGCACGCATATCCCACTGAATGAGCAGAGCGGCTTCATTATTATTATTAATAAAACATAATCCTTGCATTTGACAAAGTGCTTTATTATGTTGAGATATCTCAAAGCACTTCACGTGATTTTATTGTGAAGTGTAATGACTGTATTTGTAGGGGAACACAGCAGCCAATTTGCACAAAGCAATGTTCCACAAATAGCTATGAAACAAGTGACCATTTTCTTTTATTTGGGGGATTGTTGCCTGGACGCTGGGAGAACTCCCTTTTCTTTTTGAACAGTGCCATGGGATCTTCACCGGTCACCTAACGAGGCAGATGGGAATTTGGTTTAATGTCTCATCCGAAGGACGGCACCTTTAATAATGCAGTGCATTCCCAAACTGCATTGGACACTGTTTTTCCATGCTGGAGTCTCTTGTCTGATTCATAGGAACCTGACTGAGTTTAGGCAGCAAAGCGATCCTCAGACAACCATCGTGTTACAGTCGGGGGAAGCACAGAGTTCAGTTCCACACCCATTCTTTGGAAAAGGATGGAAATAAGCAACAATTCATAACAGATTCCATGTGACAATTATGTGAAATTTTACCAATATCACAGGCTGTGTGTATCAGACTAGCTCACTCTCGCCTCTTCAGTCAGAAGCCACACGTTTTGAACTCACATAGTGTGACACTCCACTCTTTATGGGACACTGTTGTGTGCAAATTGGCTGCTGTGCTTGCACAGAAAATACAGTCACTCCACTTCACAGTAAACCCAACATGAAAGGTGCAATACGAAAAGTTTTTATTTTTTTTAATATAAATCTATCTTAATAATATAGTAATAACAATCTTTTCATTTGATACATAGTGCCTCATCTCCATCTCTCTGGTTTGCCCCCTCCTTCCCCATCTTCAGGTCGCCTGCTTCCTCTTTGACCGTGGCTATGGTCACCTGCCCCCTCCCCTGGTTCGGCATTGTGCTCCGTCTTTGTCAAGCGCTCTGGGACGCTACCCTGCGTGAGGGAGACTGTATAAATGCAAGTTGTTGTTGTTATCAGATTAAGATGCCTCAAAGTGTTTCACAGGATACACTGTAAAGTGGAGTAACTGTTTATTTTATGCGCAAACACAAAGGCCAATTTGCAGACAGTAGTGTGCTACAAACAGCCATGAATGAGTGAGTTTTTTTCTGGGGGATTTTGGCCACGACACTAAGTGGAACTCCCTTCTCTTAATCTTCCTGATCTTAGTAACTTCACAGGGTGTTACCAGCGCTTCTCTCTGATCTTTCCTACTTGTGAAGTTGCAGTTAATCTTCAGAGTGAAGGTAAATGGCTGAGTGCTTATGCTTAAAACCTCTTTCTCTTTCAATTGCAACTTCAGTATTTTTAGGGAAATCATAGAATCGTACCCTTGCCCTTTTAATATTCCTCCTCTTCAAGCATCTATCTAATTCTCTTTTGAAAGAATCTATGGACTCTGCCTCAACAACAAATTCCACATTCCAACCACCCTCTGTGGGAAGAATTTTCTTCTATTTTCCCCCAAATCATTCTGATTTCTAAATTAATTCATTCAGGATGAATGGCTTGACCGTCACTGGGGTAGGTGGGGAGGTGGAGAGGCGAAGAAGATAGAAAATCCACAGTCACATCACTTTACATTATATCCTATGAAGTGCTTTGAGACATTTCAACATTGCACTGTATCACATGCAAGGATTATTTTTATGTATAATAATAGATCTAGATTACTATCCAGTAACTTCAGTTGGGAAGTGGATAAAATCAGTCATATAACCAGCTGACATAAGTGGTCTAGATATTCACCAAGGGAAGAAATATAGTCTGAGCTTCTCATTCCTGTTTTCATCTTTATGGTTTGGTGCAAGTTCAAATGAATAAAAATAGAAATTAGCTGAAACGATAGGCAATGGAAACAAATCCCACTGACTTGAAGTCCAGTGTTTTTGTAGAAATAAATGGTCTACTATTAAAAGCTGAAATTACAATTCACTGCAGGAATTATGCAAAGAATTTTGTAATGGTCAGGCAACGGTTACAGATGCATGGTAGTAAGTGTATAGTTTACAGAAGAACTTTATATGTGAATGAAGAAGTTTATAAATTCCTGTGTCTAACAACTTGCAGGAAGTCGCAGTATATCTGCTATCCACCTCGTGAGGGCACAAATCTCAAATATCTTTATAAATGACCAAATGATGAGTCTCCTCTGGGGAGGTGGGGTCGGGGGGAAAGTAAACAGGGCATTTGGAGCTGAAAGATGTCAAAGATGACATGCAACTGAATGTTGGAATCAAGTCAACCCTCTGTGGTGGGCTTACTAGTCTGCTTCTTGAAGGACTTCAGAGCACCGTTGATGACAGACCAGCCACCCTGGCTCAATGGCAGAACATAGAGGGGCAAAGATACTGGGGCTAAACATTGTGTCTGGCTCTGTGGGTTGGAAGGTTGTGGGTTCAATCCCCACTTCGGGACTTTAAACTGACATAGCCAAGTTGACACTACAATGTTCTACACTGTATGAGGTGCTTCCCTTCAGATGAGATGATAAATCAAGGTCACATCTGCTTGTTCAGGCGGACATTAAAGATCCCACAGCACCATTCGAAAAGAGAAGAGTTTCTCTTGGTGTCCTGGCCAACAATTCTCCCAGTAAAATTGGTCATTCACTCCATGGCTGTTTGTGGGTCATTGCTAAGCATAAATTGGGGTGTAAGCAAGTTGGAGAGGTAGGGGGTACCAGGGCATGAAGTGATTTCATGTGAATGTGAAGATCTTGAAATTGATCCGTTCTGCAGTAGGGAGCCAGTGGAGTCGGGCATTACTGGGGTGATGGGGTTATGGAATTCTGTCCAGGTGAGGATATGAGTAGCGCAGTTTTGAATTGGATTTTATGAATAATAATCTTTGCATTTGATATAGGCCTTATGTCTTCGATACATCTCAAAGCGCTTCACAAAATATACTGTAAAGTGGAGTGACTGTATTGTGGGATGAAACGTAGCAGTCAATTGCACACAGCAGTATCCCACAAACAGTCATAGAGTGATTGACAAAATAATAATTATTTTGGGGGGAAGGATTACCCCCCAGAAAGCGACCTACCAATCGACTAACAACCGGGTTCCTACTTACTGCTAGCTAAACTGACGAAAAATACCTGAAGCATCATACTGATGTTGTTACTAATAAGTGGCCGTCAGCAATAGAGCAGGGCTTTCTGTGATCAATATATAAACTGATAAGAGTGGTAATTTAAAACAAAATGTGAAGCTGCAACTTGTAATGACAGCAAGAGAAAGAAACCTTTCTTACCAAAGGATACAGCTAATATGTTCCTGTAATTTCTGCACGGTCCAACTCAATCTATTCATTGTATGCATATTGAGTAGAAATATAAATATAGTATGTTACCGATGGGAAAGACAAATTGTGTGTGAACATGTTTCAGGGCTCACTGACAACAGGACAACTTCAGTGCATAATTGCGCAAGTTGTGTTCCAGGCCTGTGGTTAGCAGGATTCCGCTATAAAACCGGTCTGGTATTAAACTGCACAGACTTTAGGCAGAGCCATTTGTTCAACTAGTAAAAACACAATCTTTCTGAAATGACTACCTAAAGCAGAGAGGAATATATGATGAATGTGACCCAATTGATTGGCATATTAACCCAAGTATACATGTCACATGGGTATCAAATTCACAGGGTAGTACCGCTGACAAACGATAACAGTTTACCACTCTGTCTTCTTTGCACCCACAGGCTTCAACTTCAACTGAAACCACAACTGCCCCTTGTGAATATTAATACTCCTCATTTCTAATCAATTATTTACTGTTCCTGGCTGTTACTGCTGGAAATTTGGTGTAGGTAACAACAACGATAACAAGATTACATTTGTATAGTGCTTTTCACGTCTTGAGGATGTCCCAAGGCGTTGGACAGTGTACAGCGTTTCAGACCACTTTCTCGCACACTGCAATTTGTACTGCTATAGCCCGAGTATTTATTTTCTGCAATAATCACAGTGATCTCATTCCAATTTAAAGATAGGTTTTGCTGTTGGTTACCATTGTGAAAATCAATTCATTTGGTTGTAGAGAAAGGTTTGTGAAAAGGTCTCCCACTACCATCCCATCTCCAACCTACCCTTCCTTGCCAAAATCTTGGAATGCATTGTTGCAGGTCAACTTCGGTCACACCTCTCCCTCCACTCCCTCCTCGAGCCCCTGCAGTCTGGTTTTCGCCCCGACTGCCCACAGCACAGAGACAGCGCTTGTCAAAGTCACAAATGGTATTCTCTCTATCTGTGACCAGGGCTCCCTCTGCCTCCTCGTCCTCCTGGATTTCTCTGCCACATTCGACACAGTCAACCATGCCATCCTCCTCCATCGACTCTCTTCCATCATCTACCTTAGTGGGATCACACTCACACGATTCAAGTCCTCCTTAATCAACCGCCTCCATTTCATCTCAACAAATGGTTTCTCCTCCCGTCCCCCTCCCGGTCACTTGGGGGTATCCCAGGGATCCATTCTTGGCCCCCTTCTTTTCCTCATCTATATGCTCCCTCTTGGTGATGTCATCCGCAGACATGGGTAAACTTCCACGTGTGTGCGATGACACACAAATCTACTTTGCCTCCTCTAGTACCAACTCCATGCCCACCAATGTTCTATCAGCTTGTCTGGCAGACCTCAAGGCCTGGATGAGCGTAAACTTTCTGCAGCTGAATATGGACTAGACGAAAGCCATATTCCTTACGTCTTTGCTCCTGCGGATCTAAACTCCTCAACTCCCTGGGCTCTCCCTCAGACTCACCAAACCAGTGCGCAACCTAGGCATCTGGTTCAACCCCTAGCTGTCCTTTCTCCCCCACAACCGGTCCCTGATTAGGACTGCCTTCTTCCACCTCGGCCACATTGCCTGCCTCCGACCGTACCTTACCCCAAATGCAGCCGAAACTCTTGTGCATGGGTTTGTCACCTCCCGCTTGGATTACTCCAATGCACTCCTCGCCGGTCTCTCCAGCTCCACCATTCACAAGATCCAGCTCATTCAGAACTCTGCCACCCGCATACTGACCCGGACCAAACTCCGTACCCACATCTCACCATTTTCTGGCCAGGTTCTATTGGCTCCCCATCCCCAAACGGATCGACTTCAAAATCCCCACAATACATGGAGAAGGGCTTTGGCTGCATTGGGTGTGAGGTATACAGTTGGAGGTGGGCAATGTGACTGAGGTGGAGGAATACAGTCTTAGTCAGGGATCGGATGTGGAGAAGGAAGGAAAGCTGAGGATTGAACCTGACACTGGGTTGCGCATAGGTTCAGTGAGTCTAAGGGATAGGCAGGGGAGGTTCAGGAGGCTGGAGTCACAGATGAGAAGACATTGACAGGAGCCAAGAAGGATGGCTTTGATCTTGTCAACATTCAGCTGCAGAAATGTGATGCTTATCCAGACCTTGATGTCTGACAAGCAAAAGGACCCAACATTGGTGGACCTGGGGTTACGGCTGGAGGAAGAGAAGTAGATTTGGGTGTCATCTGTATACAGATGGAATTGACTGATGTCTGCGGATTACATCACTGAGAGGAAGCATGTAAATGAGGAGTAGGAGGGGCCAAGGATGGAGACTTGGAATGCGCAGCAGGTGACCTGGTGGGGGCGGGAGCAAAAAATGTTTGCAGAAGTGTAGATAGATATACTGTCAAGGGGATGAACTATATTGTGTGGGAGAACATGCACATCAGATTGCAACAGAGCAATGCTTTGTATAGTGCTATGGCAGTTGTGTATCAACAGAGAGCAATCTAGCTTGCAGGACACAGAGTAGTGGGATGGTGACATGAAATGGAAGGTGAGGAATTATCCCTGTGATTCTCAACTGACATTTAATCATCCTGAGGTGCTTAAATGTCAGTTGAGAATCAGGGATGCAACTGGGCTTTTCCATTCACAGAGGAAACAACAGCAGAGGTCTGGTAACCTTTGGAATTTAGGAGTATAAAGGACTGGAAAAGGCATTATGGTCCTTCTGACCCCAAAATAAAGCAAAACATAAAAATAACCAGGCATTATAACTTTCAGAATGCTCAATTGTTTCTTTTGTCAAATAATTATCTAATTTCCTCTTCAAGTTGCTACACAATCTATTATGTAATCCGTTATATGGAGAGACAAGAGAGGTTGGGATTATTCTCCTTAGAGCAGAGAAGGTTGAGGATAGATTTAATAGAGGTGTTCCAAATTATGAGGGGTTTTGATAGAGTAGATCGGGAAAAACTGTTTCCTCTGGTGGGTGGGTCAGTAACCAGAAGACACAGATTTAAGATAATTGGCAAAAGAACCAGAGGGGAAACAAGGAGAAGTTTTTTACCCAGCGAGTTGTTAAGATCTGGAATGAACTTGCCTGAAAGGGTGAAGGAAGCAAATTTGATAACAGCTTTCAAAAGGGAATTGGATAGGTACCTAAAAAGGAAAAAAATTGCAGCGCTCTGGAGTAAGAACTGGAGTAGGACTAGTTGGGTAGCTGTTTTAAAGAGCCAACACAACAACAACAACAACTTGCACTTATATAGCGCCTTCCACGCCAGGTGGAGTCTCAGAGTGTAATGGGCCAGATGGCCTCCTTCTGCCTAAATGTTAATTGAGAATCATTGGGATCATTTTCATGTCCCACTCCATGTTACCAGACCAACATCCTATGTGCTGCAAACTAGCACCTGTAGAGTCCTGTAGCATATTGGTTAGAGCACTTGCCTCGCAGGCGAGAGGACCCAGGTTCAATTCCCGGGTAAGGCAAAATCTTAGGCTAAGTTTTCTTGCTCCACACGCTTCTGTTTACCTAGCAGTAAGTAGGTACACGATTGTTAGTTGATTGGCAGATTGCTTTCCGGGGGTAATAATCCCTTAAAAAACAATAATAATTTGGTCACTCAATCCACAGATGTTTGTGGGATACTGCTGTGCGGAATTGGCTGCTGCATTTTGCCCACAAAATATACAGTCAATTCACTTTACAGTATATTCTGTGAAACACTTTGAGACGTCTCGACGATGCGATAAGCCGCTATATCAAATGGTAAGATTATTATTAGTATATTATTATTCACTTTATGTAAAATAATTCAATCTGAATTGTGTTTCTTTTTCTGATGTCAAGTCCACTTTTGTTAATAAGGCAAACATATTGCATTAAATTACATAGATCAGTGTACAGAATGGAAATAAGCCATCCACCCCAGGTAGTCCATGCTGGTGTTTATACTCCACATGAACCTCCACTCCTCCAGGTTTATTATCTAAATCCTTTAGGATCTTGAATACTTCAATAACATCTCCTCTGAGCCTTCTCTTCTCCGGTGTGAACATTTCTCATTTTTTTCATCTTCTCCTAATTCCTACATATTCAGAAACTGTCTACATGCAAGCATAGCCCATTTCTTGGCTGTGCATGCTGTGTGGAGTAATACGTTATAAGTGCCTTTTATTAACCTTAAAATACAGAATGTCTTCACTGGTAACATTGGAAGCCAAATACTCACATTGAACGTCGACTTCTACTTCTGTGGCGATGTTGCTTCCCAGATAATTCGCTGCCAAGCAGCTGTAGAACCCGGAATCTAACCTGGATATCTTATGGAACAACATGACGTTGCTTGTGGTATCTAAGATCTCTGTGTTCTCCGTGATTCTATCTTTCTTGTACCAGGTGTAATTGGATTCAGGGTGACTGTTACTCGCACAAGCCAGGGTCACACAATTCCCTTCTTTGATTTCTTCCTGCGTTCCATTCACTAAAACCATTGTATTTTTTGGAGCATCTGCAAGCAGAAAAATAGGCGCCAAAGAAAGCACATCAATGTGTTAGTTGTCCAGACATTTGAAGGTTGAAATTCTGTTTACATGGACATCATTTCTTTTTCTGAAGCCAAAATGTCAATACAATACAATTTACTTTCATGTCAGGAGGATCTCTCAAAGCACTTGGCAATGCTGGATGGGCACCTAAGCTGGAGGTGGGAGCCGAGAGGTAGGGAGGGGAAAGATGACATCTTGGTCAAAGAGGTACATCTTAAAACGTTATGTTAACGTTAGAAACCTGCAGTTTGTGAGTGTTAATTTCTGGAAAGTTCACAGACTAATTGAGTATGTAGCTATAACTCATCAAAGGCATAACTGTTCCTGGTCAGCGCTATGATGTTCAATAGGGAATATGTGCTTTGTTATTGCTTTCATAGGTTGCACACAGGTACTGTATCCTAAAAAAATAAATGCTTACTTCTCACAGGAATTATCAACGTTATTTAAAAATCACCATTCTCACTTACTGTCCAAATTGTGTGGTACATCTTAATTGATACTAGTGCTATTCATTAAGGAATTTTGACCTAATTAAATGGTGTGAGTAAAGAATGGAGGAGTAGATTGAATGATGAATTCTTTCAAAGAGTCGGAAGAAACAATGGTTGGTTGAATGGCCTGCACCATGCTGTAAAATTCTACAATTCTATTCTATGAAAATAGGAATGCCTCAGAAAGAGTTGATTGGGGACAGTATTGAAAGTACAGAATGGGATGAGCTAATGCCTCCGTGCGATAAATGGTTTGTGTTCTGCAGGAATCGATGGTGTGGGCGACACATTGTTTGCACAGTCAATCAAAGAGTGTTGAAAGGTGGAGGTGACCTAAAGACATAAGAAGGCACATGGATTGAGGAAAGGCCATCGGGTACATTAAGCCCTCTTTCTACACAGTCCACGTAAACCTGCTTGACCACAGACATTACTAGGGATGAGAGGTTTCATTTACGGCTCAGGAGAGGGGGGTGGATGTGGTCACGTTAGCCTTTTAAAGGTAATGACAGGATAAATAGCAATAGATTATTTTCACTGGTTTATGGAGAGGTAAAATCATGGAATTATTTGATCGCATAGTCAACCACCCTATAAAAACACTTTTGCATCCCATTTTAGGTCATTTTATTTTCTCTTCCCCTTTTCTTGTCTCTTATCTATACATTTGACCCAAAACTAGAGGGCAGCAGGTATCTTCTTCGCCAGCTTTGACCCATTGGCTCAGAAATCCCAGAGAGGAATTTAGATGTCTGACAGCCACCACATGATACCACAGCTGGGCACTCATTGGGTGTACTACTAGCACAAACCCACTTCTTATCACCCTGTTCCCTGGTGAGTTAGGATGGCATTGTTCCACAAACTTTGGTGCCACTAGTAACAAGAGAAATGTAATTGGAAACTACAGAGCTTTTCCTTTTGGTAGGTTTTAATCCCACTTTTCTATCATCTGACCAAATCCCTCAATCCCTCCTCTCTCAGCAAACACCTTTCGAATCCTTTTTAGTGTGTTTGCTTCACTGGGCTTCCTAATAACTTGCTCCAGACATCTTTTAAACTTTGTGTAAAATATTTTATTTATTTCATTTTGAAATTTTGTATCACATATTTCTTCATCCTTGGTAGTTCTTCCCTGATGTTTTGGAGAAGTTAGTTGACTACCCAACCACCAAATCATGCTCTACCATGGGCTGAGCTCTTTGCTTTCCCTTCAGGTGGTCTTATTTATTTCATTCTTGCTTTATATTCCATTGCCAGAGCAGACACAAAGTGTAGCTCTTTAGAGCAGCCATAGTCTTCACATTCAGAAACCTTGTCGGATTCTGGTTTATTGTTCCACGTGTGTCATCTTGCTTCATGATTTATTGTGAAGGCAACGGGAGATCAGATGCCAAAAATCGTTTGGGGTAAGTTTGCTACCAGGAAACTCTTTTCATTAAGGGTTTGCATTGCCAACATAACCCTGCAATGAACCAGCCTGAAATGAACAAGCAGCATCAGATGTAGCATGCAACATTTTTCTTACTTTTATCCAGTCTACTGCAGCAGAACATTTATCTGTGGGACTGATCATAAATTTGTGTATGGGTCTCTATACATGAATAGTGTATAGGGATCCATACACAAATTTATTATCCATTATCCATTCTATTACAGTTATACTGCAATAAGATGCCTCAATATGTGAATGCCAAATTTGGGTTATTTGAAGGTAATCTCAGCCAGTAACTTACACTTCACTTGTAGTGTGACATTCGTGTCTTCTGAATAAGGGAAGGGGATGTAGTCTACAGCACATCTGATAAGTTTTTGATGGTGCTGGTATGATGGGATGAACATGACTTTACTGATGACTGTCCAGGTAGATCCAGACAATTGCTCTTCAATGACTGGCAAATCTTCTGTCAATTCAGAGATGCCCTCCCAGCTGAGCCGGGCTCTGCCACGTTGATCAACGTTGGAGGTGGAACAGGTTATAGTGCTCATCTCATCGCTTTCAAGCAGTTCCATCGGGATGGATATCTCTGGCTTCGTTGGTTGACCTGTACAATTTGGAAAGGGAGGTAGGTGCCTTTAGTCAATAAGTTAACAAACAGTAAGTTAAAAGAAAAGACAAGGAGAAGCAATTACCGTAAACTGAGACTCTGACGCCATGATCTCCTGACCAGTTGTTGCCCTGTCCCATTTCAAACCTGAAGTAGTAAATCCCACTGTCAACTTTGTTAATGTTGGTTATCTGAAGGGAACAGTTCTTCTCAGACAGATCCCCCACCAATGTTATGTCAGGCGAGAGCCTCCTGGTATTCCTGCTGTTGTATATTTCGGCAGCCTGATTGTTATTGGGGAAAGGAGAGTTCTTCAGCCACCTGGCAGTTATTGCTTGGGTATCTCGGACTGTTTCCGGGTACTCAAAAGAGCAGTTCAAAAGCACAGTTTCGCCTTCCCAAGCAGACGCAGAAGTATCAACCCAGACAGACCACTGGCAGACTAACCCTGCAAGAGGAGAGACACATACATCAGTGGCTGTTATTGCATCTATGGAAAGAGAAAAGTGAGTTAACGTTTCAGGTCGGTGACCTTTCATCAGAACTGGGGGATGTTGGAAGGGAGCAGTTTATAAGGACAAACGGAGAAGGGGGCAGGGAAAGAAAGACACAGGAAATAATTAGGTGGAGGACAGGAGACGATGAGCTCAAAATATCCTCTCTCTGTAGATGCTACCTGACCTGCTAAGGGTTCCCAGTGACTTCTGTTTTTAATCATTTCATTTTTATTTGTGGGACATTTGTTTCCACATTTACCTACGAACACAGTCACCACACATGTCAACAATTACCTGTGAAGTACTTTGAGGTGTTTCAGAATTATAGGTGCTATAGCAAATACAAGGATTCTTATTATTCCTTTTTTGCATTTGATGGAACATTAATGGCTCGTTTGGTTGAAGGTTCTGGGTCCCAGTCATTGTTTTCAAGTTGATAAAATCCTTTTGGGGGAAGTCTCCCTGGGATTAAACATGTAAAAATGCAACAAGGTCTTATGATCTGGACAAAGCCAGGCAGCTCTAAAATAATCCAAACACGGTTGGAAAGATATCCATAGAAAGATAAAAATAACTTACATGTTTATAATACCTTACATGTCAAAAGACTCAAAGTAATTATTGTCAAGTGTGGTGAGAAATTCTGTGGAGAAATACAGCAGCAGTTTTGAGCACAAACAGGGGTTGCACAACAACAACTTGCAGTTATAAAGCGCCCTTTATAGGGACGGCATCTCAGAGCGCTTAACAGTGGCAGAGCCCAATGCCGAGCCGCAACAACAATGAGGTGAATAATCGATTGAGCTGGAGGATTGTTGACGAGGACACCAGCACCTGCTCCAATTTCTTTTCAAACACTGTCAGAGGATCTTTAACATGAGCAGACAGATGGGAGCTCAATAACATCACATCTGAAGGAAAAACAACTCTAACATTACTCAATAATACTGCACTGGAATGTCAGCCTAGACTACAAGCTGAAGTCTGCAAATCAAAGCTCTTTTGGGTAGGGAGGTCCTAGAGAACATGCTGCACAGCTACAATCATGCCCAGTCTTTTCAGAGTCAGTTAACAATATTCAGTTGTATGCACTTAGTTTTTTTTTCCTTATTTGAACTGATGCTTCATTTAGATAAGAAGCTCATCAAAATACATTGCCGCCAAGTCCTAATACCCTGGATATAGCGTTGCCGTCACTTATAGCATTGATGTCCTATGGCCTTATAGTGAGCAGAAACTTTAGGCTTCCAAGCTGACTGTGATGCTTCCTGCACTAAAAATGTACAACTTCAGGTCACTATCTATATGCCAGAATGTACAGGAAATATGCCACTAACATCACTTCCTGAATTCTGTGCATGTATGAATACACAAAGGAAGTGGCAGCAGGAATGCTTCTTACACATACCATGAACACGCAGCTGCAGGAAGTGATATTCAGTGGTGACCTGACAACCCAAATCAGCATTTTTGGTGCTGCACTTATAACGTGGTAACAAGGTTGCCCTGAAACAGTCTTCGCAGTTGTAGCTCTGTTTGAGAGCATCAGAGAATTGGCAATGAGATTGAAACAAAACTTAGAACATTTACGGTATAAAAGCCACTTACATTCTAAAATATTCTCGTAAAAGTGAATTATTTCCTATTAAAGATAAAATAAATTAAACTAATGTACATGTCAGTATAATATGTATATTTTCTCTCCTGAAAATGTAATTATCAAGAAATCAAGCTGAAGTGGCTAATCTTCATGTGTGATTCTCCAAACTCCTAACCCCACATCAGCCTGTCCGCTCCCTCCGCTCGGCAGACTCCGGCCTGCTTCAGGTCCCACGTGCTTCCAGGCCCATCAATGGTGGTCGAGCATTCAGCATCTCTGCCCCCACATTCTGGAACTCTATCCTGTAATCCCTCCTCCTCACTCCCTCTCTTGCTTCCTTCAAGTCCCATCTAAAGACCTTCCTCTTCAACTGTGCCTTTGGCCACCCTCCCACTCCCACCACCCCACACCCTGCCCCTCCACTACTCCACCCCTCCTGACCCCAACTCCCAGCTCAGGTCCAAAACGCCCTGACTGACCAGGGAACCATGACCTTCTCTGTTTATAGAATTCAGATCCTCACTGAATAAACCTACTGAGCCATCGGAGGAGCTGTATCTAAAATTCTAGTCAATTGCCAGGTAATTAACAACTTCAGTGAACCATAGAACACATCCGTACACTCAGTCAATGCTTAAAAAACATCAGATGCCTGAGTTAAAGCCGAGAGATAATAGTGTTAAAGGGTGAAACAGCCTTACCCTGGATGAGACACGCGAGCAGCAGTGCCAGCATGCAGTGAGAGGCACTCATTGTGTGGATCACAGCCTGGAGAGAACGTGGAGAGAGGAGCAGAGAACAATCAGACACATTGATACCTGCACAATGAGCCATCGACAACGAACCACTGTCCGCACACACACACACACATACACACACAGTATTGAAACTGGGCTGCATTTGTTCAGCAGGAACTGCTCTGTAAACTCCTACATCTGTGGACTGAGACACTGGCCATTCATTGTCTTCTCGCACATTAACTCAGCTCAGTAATGCCTTTGCGAGTTGCACAGCACACATATTCAATTAGTCTATATAGATTACAATAGATAGATAATCTTAACTTTCTTATTTTATTTTTAAGACACTATGAATTGACACTAGGAATTGACATCATGTAAATGCATTCAACAAATCTTAACAGATCTTCCGAGCATTCATCTTCAATGCAGCAAAACATGTTTGCAACAGCTATCAGAGCTGATTTATCTATAAGGAACTGTGCTTCATTTTAAAAAGATGGGAATCAAAGGACAGTAAGTTAAATTTTTAAATCAGAATCTGTGATTGTCAGTCTAGTATGGAGTGTTTATCAGGTTGTCATCTTCTCAGAGTGGAACTTATGATTGTATCGTATATAAATGCGATTGAGCAATTAGCCCTGAACAATACTTTGAGATACACCAAGACAGTGTGATAAGAAGCAGAGTGCAGGGCAGGGCAGAGAAGAGGACTCACACTGGAAATATTTCTTTACACAGATTATAATCCAGAGCTGAAACGATTCAACAGTTGGTGGAGACTCATTTAAGAAACTACTTGATGCTGTAATGATAATACAGTAGAGAAGGATGCTTCTCAGGACCAAAATGTGTTTCGTTCCTGTAACACTGACTCATGCTGGGGAGAATAGTTCTACAGTCAGCAGCCTCCGCCCCCACATACCCAGTTATATATCTTCCTTGGGATATCCTCCCAATGTAAAAGGAGCATTACTTACTACAATGGAGAGGTTTATAGTAAACAGAATTGTATCAAAGTGACAACTTTCAGCCTATTTCACCTGCCCAGTATGATCTATCTATCTATCTATAATAATAATAATAATAATCCTTGCATTTGATATAGCGCTTTTCACGTCGGGAGGACGTCCCAAAGCGCTTCACAGAACACACTGTAAAGTGAATTGACTGTATATTTGTGGGCGAACGCGGCAGCCAATTGCGCACAGCAATGTCCCACAAACAGTCGTAGATTGAAAATGACCAATTTATTATTGGTTTTGGTTTTGGAGGGATTATTATTAGGCTCTGTGTGGAGTAAGGAAACTTGCCCAAGGTTTCGCCCTCTGCCTGGAATTCAACTCAAGTCTCTCACTTGCAAAGCGAGTGCTCTAACCACTGAGCTACAGGACTCCACAAATCTGCTGAAGATTCTCGTAAATGGACCAGAAATAAGATAAAATGAATAACAATACATAGCAGAGCGAAACCTTGGGTAAGTTTCCCTACTTCACATGCCGGATAATAAACCCTCAAGAAAAAATTAAATAATAATTTGGTCACTCAATCCACGACTGTTTGTGGGACACTGCTGTGTGCAATTGCCTGCTGTGTTTTGACCACAAAATATACAATCAATTCACTTTACAGTATATTCTGTGAAGCGCTTTGAGATGTCTAGAAGACGTGAAAAGCGCTATATCAAATGCAAGGATTGTTATTCATTATTATTATCAATGCAATTTGTTTGTTATTGTTGTGTCTGCTCTTCATGTGTGTGACAACATTGTGAGCGATGGCAGACTGTTTGGATGTGACTGTTGAAGGCGGCTCACAGCCGAGCTTTGATTCTGTCCTTGTCCAGTGTTTACGCACACAATTTCCACAAGGGATTCCCCTTTCCTCCTCAGGTCTAAGGTCACTGGCTGATTTCCCGCTTTTCCCCACCCCTCCCCACACCTCTCAACTTTAGGGACACCAATTGTGTCCTGTCCATCACTTTTTTTTTGCTCAGCCAGGTGTCTGATACATGCGGAAACACATCACCGTACTGAAGAGTATCCAAACCAAGCTGAGATTTCCATGCATCCCATCTACACATGAAATCCCAGAGGTAGATTGTTGGAATGGAATATGTACCATCTCCCTGGAGAGACACATACTGGTTACCTAATTCCAGAAAGTATTAGGCGCAGGTTGGCAAGAGTCAAGGCTTGGGTACCCTAGAGTTTGTGTTGGGGTAACTGCTGGAGTCTAACCAGCTAAAACCACATAGCTTGCCATTGATATTGCTGTCCGGTAAGTTTTGCCGCTGCTTATCCAGCTAGGACCACCTTACCCATTAGGGCTTTGGCTAGTAGGGTTAACAGGAGCTGAGTGGGATGACTCCCTGGTCTGCCCTTCCGGGTTCTGCCGATGAGCCAGCACTGTGCTGTCGTCAGCAGTGCCATGGAATATTGCAGATCGTCCTGGCTCAGGAATCGGACTACCAAGACCGCCACGGAGGCTGGCTCGATTCCAATATTCCTTTACCATCACCCTCACCTTCCTCAACAACAACATCAACTTGCATTGATATAGAACCCTTCACGTGGGGTAGAGTCCTGGAGCAATGTCATCAGTGAGATCAGCATTAAACAGGAGTTGAAACTGGTCTGTGTGGCTCAGTTTCACACCAGCTAGTGCATTAATGAGTTAGAAACGAATGCCGGGCTTAACCACACAAACACAGATGTTGAAGCAAAAGATATTCACATATTGGTTAGTACAAATATGTCATAGAATCAAAAATCAGAAATCCGCTAGACCCAATATTACTTTTAATTATTACTCTGCTATTACCCTAAACAGAATTGCTAATTCTCACTTTACACAAAACACTGCGCTTCATTTTCATTATAAATCAGACAGTTCAGTTACTCCGTACCTTCTTTGTGCTCTAATTCCTCTGCCAGAGCAGGGCTCCTTCACACTAAGCTAAAGAAGCAGAGCTGCTGGCACAGTAAGATCTTCACTCTTGTTAAACTAGTGCAGGGGGCTTGGAGCGCCAAGAAAGGGCATTAAAATAAAATAGAAACAATGCAACGCACAGAGAAACAGCCTCACAGGCACACACTCATGTATGACTAATGAACGACTCAATACATCTCCAAAGGTCAAAGAATTGAAGCAATTCATAAATCAGTGAGCACAAGAACGTGAAAATGTCAATTTGATTAAGACTTTGATATCGTAAGACTGCGCGGACAGTTGACATTTAGTAACACTGAGCTGAAAGACAGGACTTATTCTTTCCAGTCTGCAACTTAATGGAATCATAGTCAATTTATTTATTGTTGCAGAATATTTGTTCAATAAATCCATAAAGATTTCCCCCCCCCATTTCAAACTAATTAACAAGTCAAGGGATTCTCAATTAACATTTAATGACTGGTTGCATTAACCTTTTAGTGGCCATAATGCTCAAACTGATGCCTACAGTTCAACACTTGTAGATCTATTTATGACACCACAGGAGATCATTCAGTCCATCATGTTTGTGCTTCTCTACTGTATCCCATTCCCCTGCTTTTTCCCTACAGTCTCTTAATTTGAATTATCTAAATGTATTTATCCAATCCATTTGCCAACAAAATACGAAAAAAGGATATCCTCTGAAGTGCTTTATGAAAATGCATCATTATTATTATTAATCCCCTTTAAATTCTTCTAGGAACTCAACTTCTATAGCCACCTGTGATAAGGAACTCCACATTCTGAGACATTCCACATTCTATGTGCAAAAATATGCTTCTAACTTTCTTTTCTTTTGGTGATAATCCTCAGTTTAAGGTCTGGAAATAATTTGTCTATTTACCCTCTCAAAACTCCAATTTTAAACACATCCTTTACAACTTCAACTTTTTTTTAGAAGCATATCATGTTGTACAGTCTTATTTCAAGCTCATTATTTATTCAAAGTTAAGATAATATATTAAGTTACACAACGCAAAAGGCACCACAGGCACTAAGAAGAAATGTCCAACCTGCACAGGAGGGTTTTAGAGAGAGTCCAATCCGTCTGTGTAGACTGAAGGTATTGCAGGGAGTCAATCACAAACCTGAGCTGCGCATGGCACAGTGCTCAGTCAGCATTACCCACTGGGTCGCCTGAAGACACAACAAGAGCTTGAGAGATGGAACAATACCACACAATAGCGAGTGAACATGAGCGAATGATCGATTTCAATCAGCTGTTTGTACTCCTCATTCCACAAGCCCTCCTGCCAAGGAGTCAAACCCTGATAGGACTGAGAGCAAGTCAGCCCCTATCTGGTCTTGGAAAAGTGAGGCTCAATACAGACTCTGTTGTCAGTCCCTCCTTACTGATTATTCCACTCCATTTCATTATTGTTCAGCACAAACAGCACACCCTCCAGCAGCAAAACTGCAATTAAAGAAATCTACATTGAGTGGTTGTCAGTGATATCCTAAATAATCAATAGGCCCATTTCCTTTTAAGGTGCAATTTCAATTACTTTTTAGCTGATATGAAAACGTGAAGTGTTATGTCCTTTTCGTTGGTGCCAAATTACAATAAAACAGTATATTTGTGTGGGATGTAAATTTCCAGTTTAGAGAAGCCTGACCTTTTGCAATGCATTTTTTAAAAAAAATGTTGATTCCCACACAAGTTGTGGGCTTTATGACGGTGTAAACTCTGCCTTACAGAAGCTGGATATTGTTTGACTTATTATTGTTGACATGCATTAAGTCCATATATCATTGACACAACAACAACAAATTACAATTGTATAGCACCTTTCACGTTGGGAGGACATCCTAAGGTGCTGATTCCCAAGTGAGAAGAGTGCAGGTGAAAAGAGAATTATGATTTAATTACGGTGAACATGTAGAATGGGGTGGAATTAGATTGTGTCAACAAATTCAAGAAGGAATTAAGACAGTTATTTGGCGAAGAAATGGGCTGAGGGGTATAGAGATTTTTGCATCAGAGTCATTAATATAGACTAAAATTTCACTTAATCTTAGCCTGAAAACCATTTTTCTCTTAAAATTATGCAGTCTTAAATTGTAGGATAGAATGGTTTTACAGAATAACATTAGATTTTTCTGATCAGTTCTTCTGTGCTGTAAATTTCTATGATTCTATCAAACTACAAGGGTATGGGTAAAAGGTAGGGACTGAAAAGTATTGCTCTTTTAAAAAGCAGTGTGATCACAGTCGAAGAGGAGGGTCTTGAGATGGGTCTTGAAGGAGGCGAGGGAGCGGGTGAGGCAGAGGGACACCGGGATGGAGTTCCAGATGGTGGGGGCAGAGTGGCAGAAGGCCTGTCCACCAATTGTGGGCCTGGTGAGGTGGGCGATGTGAAGCAGGCAGGAGCCCGCTCAGCGGGGGGCTGGGGCAGAACAGTAGGGGGTTAAGAGCTCTCAGAGATAGGGGGGAGCAAGACCCTGGAGGGCTTTAAAGGTGAGGATCAGGATCTTGAATGTATCCTCTGTGTGATGGGAAGCCAGTGGAGTCGGGTAAGGATGGGGGTGACAGGGTCACAGAGTCTGGTGGGGAGAGGACACGGGCTGCAGAGTTCTGGATGATCTGCAGCCTGTGGAGGGACGATTTGCGGAGGCCGACAAGCAAGGAGTTTGCATTGTCAAGCCTCGATGTAATGAATGTGTGTATGAGGGTTTCGGCGACCTGCGGTGTGAGACAGTGTTGGAGCCGGATGATGTTGTGGACGTGGGGTAAGTCAGAGCAGATCATGGCACAGATGTGGGGTAGAAAGGATAGTTGAGGGTCAAACAAGATGCCAAGGTTCCGGACTTGCTTAATAAGTTTGAGTGTGCATCCACGGATGGTGATGCTGTCAGTGCCTGAGGTATGGAAGCGCTGACAGAAGCCAATCAGAAGGGTTCTCACCAGGACTTTTGTCTGACAGATATTCTGTCAAAACACCAGTGGTCCTGGAGTCAAGGGTGGAGGTAGAGAGGTACAGTTGGGTATCATTCGCATACATGTGGAAGTTGACCCCATGTCTGCGGATGATGTCACCAAGAGGGAGCATATAGTTATTAAAGAGGAGGGGACCAAGGACAGAGCCCTGAGGAATGCCATACGAGACGGTGCGGGGCCCAGAGGAGAAACCGCTTGTGGAGCTGAAGTGGAGGTGGTGTGAGAGGTATGATCTGAACCAGTCAAAGGCAGAGCTATGAAGGTTGAGAGGAGAGGCGGTGGATGAAGATAGAGCAGTCAACAGTATCGAAGGCAGCAGAGAGGTCAAGGAGGACGAGGAGGCAGAGGGATTCCTGGTTGCAGATGGACAGAATGTCATTTGTTACTTTGACCAGGGCTGTTTCTGTGCTCTGGGGTCAAAGTGGCAGAAGGCCTGTCCACCAATTGTGGGCCTGGTGAGGTGGGCGATGCGAAGCAGGCTGGAGCCCGCCAGAACCTGCGGGGGTAGAATAGTAGGGGGTTAGGAGCTCGCAGAGTTAGGGGGAGCAAGATCTTGGAGAGTTTTGAAGGTGAGGACCAGGATCTTGAATGTATCCTCTGTGTGATGGGAAGCCAGTGGAGTCGGGTAAGGATGGGGGTGATAGGGTCACAGAGTCTGGTGTGGAGAGGACACGGGCTGAGAGTTCTGGATGATCTGCAGCCTATGGAGTGAAGAGTTGGGGAGGCCGACAAGCAATAAGTTTGCATTGTCAAGCCTCAATGTAATGAATGTGTGTATGAGGGTTTCGGGCCGGAAACCTGATTGGAGGGGTTCATGAAGGAAGTGGCAGAAGAGGAAGGAGCGAAGCAATCTGGCAATCTGTCAGCTGGTCCAAAAATCATTCCAGGACCTTGGAGAGGAAAAGGAGGTTGGAGAGGAGACGGTAGTTTGAGAGCTGTTTTGTTTATAATACTCATAAACTTTTACCTCCCTCCATTGCTGTTCACCCCCATCCCATTTTTGTGTATCTGGCCAAGCTGTTTCCTCATTCACCTCATTTCAGTTCCTTTCTCTCTGTATTTGAAAAACGTGTGTTTGTTAACATCAATACTCATCAACCGAAGGTTCACCCCTGTCCTCTGGAGCTCTGACCAAAACTTCTTTGCCTTGCTTTCTCTCCTGCGGAATTGAAAACCCTCTTAAAATGACACATCTTCTGGTCTACGCTGTTGGCCTGTGCTACGCCTGCTGTGCTGGAGCAATGCCAGGGCATGTAGGTTGCGGCAGCTGCACATTCCAGCCGCCCTGCTGTCTGACCTCAACACCCGGGCAGTGCATGGCACTGGGCAAAATCCACTGGCAGGACATTGTCCAATCCTACCAGCTGACAGATGGCGGCTTTAACTATATTAAAGAGCAATCAACAAAAGTAATCGAAATCATCGTTCTTTATTTCCCCCCCTACAAAATCTGTTGAAGAGAAAGCAAAAGGATATTTAAATTCAGCAATAAAACGTACAGTATCGTGCTCCTTTAAGCAAGCAAAGCACTTCAGTTTCTGAATGCCTTGCGCGTTTTATCCCACTTGTGTTTCTGACAGTGATAACTTTCATCCCACTCTGCCTGTTGTGTTGTGAGCCACTCGCCTCACCAGTGATGTGGAAGCTCTGTTTAATTATTTGCTGACAGATGAAACTGTACAAAGAAAAGAGAGGAGAAATCGTTGTTTATAAAAGACAAATAACACTTACACATCCAGCAATTCAAAAACAAGCAAATGTTGAGGCAATCTGTCAGCTGGTCCTTTTGTGGCAAACTATTAAAAGCCATGGAACAGGAAGAGCCCATCGAGCCTGTTCAAACTAGTTTATTAGATCTTGGTAGATCTTTTATTCCCAATATATTTTCCACCAAACCTCTAATTTCTCAACTACCCAAGTCTCTGCCTGTTTCTCCTCTAAACATCTCTATTGATTACACCTCTACAGCTTTGAGGCTCAGAGCATTCCACTATCAAAGTGAAAAATTGTCAAGTTGTCTTAATGTTTGTGATGGGTAAAACATTGGATTCTATATAAAAAAAACTAAAAATCTTGAGAAGGAGAGTGTAATTTAAAGCAGCCAGCATGGATTTATGAAAGGAAAGTCATACTTGACCTACCTTATCGATTTTTTTTGAGAATGTAACAGTACAGTATAAATAGACAAGTTAGTGGATGTAGTGTATATGAACTTCCAGAAGATCATTGATAATGAGGTGGGAGAGGGTGGGGAAAGATGACCAGAGGTAAGTCTTGAGATGGACTGTGAAAGTGAGAAAAGAGGGACTTTGAGATGGAGTTTCAGAGAGCGAGGGCAGAATAGCTGAAACTCACCCATTGATGTACAGCGGATGGGAGGAGGATATTCATTGAACAAAAGGAGTGCCTGGATCAGTAGGGTTGCAGGAGGTTGCAGGTTTAGGGTGAAGTGGGGCTGGGAAGGAATTTGAAAATGAGGATCTTGAATTTGATCCCTTGGGGGATGGGAAGAAGTGTAGCTGAGCGAATGATAGGCTGATGAAACCAAATGCAGGAGAGGTCATGGGCTGCAGAATCCTGTATAGGCTGGGGCTTGCGTAGCGAGAAGCTGGGAAGTCTGGTGAGCAGGCTGTTGCAGGAAACGAGATGACCTGATAGAAGTGTTTAAAATTATGAAAGGGTTCGATAACTCGGCCGTAAATAGGTTGGTGAGTCCAAAACAAGGAGGCTTAAGATGGCAAGTAGCAGATCTAAAAAGGAAGTTTACACAAAAGATGCTTAGAATTTGGAACTCATTGGCTGGAAAAGCTGTGATTGAAGCAGAACATGTACTTGGAAGAAAACTTGATCTATACATGAAGGAGAAAGGAAAAATGGGGTATGGGACAGGAGATTCGAAGGCATGAAGGCTCATATGGAACATAAACACTGACATTACTTGAGCTGAACTATTCGACCTTTCACCAGACCCCTTAACACTTTAATATCCAAATGTTTGTCCATCTCTCTTTTAAGTATCCCTTCTAATTCATCCTCTATGGCTTTCTGGGGGTAGAGTATTCCACTTCAAAACCCTCTGTGTGAAGAAATATTTCCTGACTTCAGGTTCAACTGACTTAATTCTGATTTAAAAGTTGTGCTCCCTCGTAATGGATCCTTCTTTCAAAGGGAAAACGTGTCCACTATCTAGCCTGTCAATTTCTTTCATTATTTTAAATACGGAATCAAATCACCCCATTACCTCCTCTCATCTAAAGAATATAACCCCTTTGAATCCCATTTCTCTACATCATCTAATACACTTTGGGGGAA